CTTTCGCTTACAAACAGCTGAGCAATTCGTTTTTCTAATGATGGCTGCTTTTCCTCCAGCATCGAGGCAATAACATATTCACTAAAATAAGAGTCTCATTTTTCATCAGAGAGAAACATTCGACGTGTTTTCGCAATGCTGTTTCTCCTTCTCAGCATCATCCCCCCCACCCCCCAAAGCGAAAAAATCAGGGCTGATAGCAGGGTGCGAGGGCGGGAAAGATCTAACTGTTAATTTGTCTGTTATTTCTTTACATCACACATACTGTCAATATGATTCGTTTTTTGGTAAAGAAGGGCAAGAACATCCATTTAATTCAATGTCAAGTTTGCAGCCATTGAACCATCAGAGTGAGAGTGATTTGAGCGTGTTACGGAAGCACCTTCATTATTGTAATCTGGTAAACTGGCGAACAAGGCTGCATTATAATAGAAGAATGTTAGACTTTTTAAAACTGATAAATAGACTTGGTTCTATTCAGATATAACAGCTTCTCTCTCTACAGATAAGAGCCAGTGTGCAGTATATATTTTCCTAAATAAGTGATTCCTGCAGTTGAAAAACTGTGACATTCAACTAAAGCAACACTGAGCCTCACACTTTTCCTGCAAGCCTGCTACCAGGAACCCTGGGTTCTTGAACACCCGCATCTCCTCCTCATGTTCTGTCTGTCAGACCCAGCGGTATTGGATAGGCGTCTGAGTTCCCTTCTCTTGCGTTCTGGTCAGGTGCACTTCCGTGCTCAGTGTTAGCACCCTCACCTCGTCCTGAGGACAGTTGGGGAAACTGCAGGTGAGGAGAATATGGAGTGTGTGACTTGGGATCAGGTGGCCCGTCAACGCCCGTCACTCACCTGGCAGTGAGGGCTGGGCCAGGGTCTGATTCCAGGTCACACACTCTCCTGAACCCCTGCCCACCCACCAACCACCTGTGCCTGCAAAGAAGGTGTGCGGTGTCACACACTCCACCTTAATGGTTTGGTTCTAAACTGTGACTTAAACTCTCCGTTAACTCCTGCTACTTTAATAAACTAGGATTGAGTTTCACTGGAATTGCTTTGCTCTTGCCTTTTTTTTTTTTTTTCAGTTCTCCAGGTGTTTACAGAGAGGCATCCCTTTGCAGGGCAGCCTGGATGGTGCAGTGGGTGATGTGTTGGGTGACTAACCCACAGGTTGGTGGTTTGAATCCCCCAGCCACCGTTTTGGAGAACGTGGAAGCTCTCAGCTCCTGTTGAGATTCATTGTGAAGTAGAATTTGGCTCAGAGCCAGCGTGAGTTTGTGTTTGGAGTTTTGTTGGTTTTCTTTCTTTTGTTTTCTTCTCCTGTTCCAAGCAGGCTGAGTTCCTCATTTTCTCCTTTTCTTCTTGGGTTTCCACCACAAAACCCGAACACAAGGCAGCAGCCTCCTTCCTCAGTTGAGGTGGAAGAGTCAGGGGTCCAAAAATTTTCTTGTCATGAACAGCGGTGCTGAAGGATTTTTTACTTCACGCACTCAGACAGACAAGCGATGTTGCTGTGTGCCCACCTTGTGATTGCTGTATTTCATGTGCGTTAGCGTTTAATCGCTTCCGTGCTACCCAGCACAGTGAGTCAGGAGCGGGCGGAAATGGCGGTGCCCTGCCGTGAGGAGAGGCAAGGAAGGAGGGTCCTGCGCTGGCTTCCAGGTTTCTCTCTCAGGTGGAGAGCTGAGCTGTTCACCAGCAGAGGTCATGCTCATTTTGAGAGTGTGTTTTGACTGAAATTGTATTAAGGAGGAGCTTATTGGAGAATAAGTCTTAAATAGAGACCATAGAAATGGAGAAAGTTAGCTACAGTTGAGAGACCTCAATCAGGCTTATCTCTTACGCTGATCACTGTGACATAACCATTATTTTAAGTTGATTTGTGATCCTAATAAATAAGCAAAACCATTTGAGAGTCAAAAGTTGAGCCTGGATTCGTCCTTGTTTGGTTCTGGTGTGTCCTCTTTGGAAAGGACACTTGCTCCATCCTGTCCCTCTGTCCCTATGTGCATGAAATCAATGCCAGCGTCCATTGTGCATTACTGTGAAACAGTCCTCACGCTCCGAGAAGCCCCCCAGCTACTTCATCATGGAGTGGTGAAGTGAAACTTGGGAAATCCACCAAAACAGTGGCATTTGCCTTAAATGTCCTTTGTGCAGGGGAGAAGCTTATGTAATACTTAGAATCCTAACTTTATGAAAATGTGGTTAAAATGATTGTCACTTGTTTCAGCCAGGTGAATCCAGATTCTAAAGTTTAGACGTCACATGGTAGGCAGAAGTGAGACATACTTGCGTGAGGTCCAGTCTTTCTCACATGGAGCTTTTAGATAGCTGGAATTCTAGTGGCACTTATATTTTAGAATTACAGATATTTAGAGATTAAGGATCAGAATTGTTTTACTTATACAAAATTTTCTTTGAAAGATACTTTACGTCGAGCTAGAATTCTGAGCACCCACTCTCTTTCCTCTAAGGAAGCTGTGAACATTTTGGTGCATACTCCACCTGTCCGTCTGTTTACATGCTGACCCACGGTTCGATACTAATTTCTAACAGTTAGCTGAGCCTTTGTTCATTTGGGTTGAGTTGGGAGTTTTTAAATTCATTTGATAAGGCATTTTCAAGAATCACCTGACTTCTTAAAACTTTATTCAGAAGACACAAAATGAACGTAATTAAAAGAGAAGAACTGTGTTACATTGGAAATCGTAACAGATAGAGGGCCTGAGCCTTCGCCGGATGTCTAGTCCTGAACCCTGAGTGAGTTTAAAGTAGCCGCGAGCCCCACGTGACTGCTCAGCACTCAAACTCCGGCAGTCTGAATTGAGATGTGGTCAGTGTAAAATACACACCAAGGGAACAGTAAAATGTCTTAATATTTTTTTATACTGAATACATGTTAAGAATTATAATCTTCTGGATCTAATGAGTTAAATAAAAGACTACATTTTATTTTACTCATATTTTTTCCTCTTTTTAAATTTAGCTGTTAAACATGTTTTAATTTTACATGAGGTTTGCCTTGGTTTTCCCATGTTGTATTTCCTTCGGGACCGTTGTATTTCAGACAGCAAACTCTCTTTGGGAAACTTCTCAGGCATAACCCCTGATTCTCGTTTCTTATATTTCGAGTGGTGATTTTCAGCATGCTGTCTTCATTTCCCCTCCCCTACAATAGTACTTTAAACTACCTCCCCTTTGACACCCTGAAGTCTCACAGGAATTGAAATAGGCCGCACTGGAAGCAGTGCTGGGGTCTCATTCACAAGTTCAAGGTCGATCATCTTCCTAATAACAGCTTTAAGTGCTCCAGCAGGTCAGCTCTGCAATTGCCTGCCATTTCTTTATAAAGATGTTTCCAAAAAGTATTCTGTGTAATCTCTTCTTTCATTTTAATTTATTGTTTCTTTCCTTGTTTTGTAGCAAACTGTAACATAATCCTTTGTTAGTTTGTTAGAAGTCAGAGAGGGAAAGCTCCTTATATTAGCAAAAATGAAATGTATTTCCAAGTACCAGGAATAAAGGGTAGAATTGATCACAAATGATGGACTTTCAGAAGTTAATTTTTAAAATAAATCCTGAGCACTCTGGCAGTGTGCCAGTGGCCATGACCTTGGCTTTATTTTCCCTTTAGCCAGGGGTCAAGGTTGTCAGTCAGCCTCACGGAGGAACCTCTGGTCGTTGCTGGAGAGGGAGAAGCTCACTGGGAGACGTCATACAGGTGCAGCCATGCCAGCAGCCTGCCTTCTTCAGGCCCACTCCTGTTGCCTTGTTGGAGAGTTGTAATTGTCATTTTTGTCAGATGATGAGGGCTGGCCCGGAATGGATATGAGAGGGCTGAGCTGGGTCAATACTCTCTTTTCAGTAGAAAAAAAAAAAGGGTCGTCATGACCGTTAAGATGCGACTTGTTAGCTTGATGAATTCCGTAGCCCTGCATCTGCAAGTGTATCAGGGCTTCGGGGTTAGGTGTGCAAGGTGTGATACCAAAGCATGTTTGTATTTGGCTTCAAGATAAATTAACACAGCCTTCCTGGGTCTCCTTAGAACTCTCCAAGGTCATGGGTTGTTCTGGGTCAAACTCCTGCTTATTAACTTGAGTTACATGCCGAAGTGAACACTGGAATATGTTTATAGGGTTTTTAATCCAGCTATTTTCTGCAACATAGATGTCATTTAACAGTTGAGAGACAACAGTGTTCATCGAGCTGTGCTACTAATGTGCTTATATCTTAATAATTCAGAGTATATTTGCTTAATTTCTTTTTGTCTGTAATGAACTTGATACCTTTAAATAGTGGACTCTGACACATTTAAATAAATGCTCTCCACTTAGTGATCCAAGGGCATTTTTCAGTGTTTCTAAATAATGTTAGATGTCAGATAAGACAGCATTATGATTGATTTTTATTCAAATGTGTGCTGGCCTGTTTGCTTTATACTGTTATGATCACTTTGCTAATATTTCTAGAACTTGGCATATTTTGGGTACTTATTAAACTCATAAGTAAGAATACATAACAGAAATTGTTAACTTTAAAAGAATTGTTGAATTTTGAAATAACTTCTTAATTTTAGGAGAAAAAGGCTCAGTTTGCCACCTAGTGGACGTTTTGTTCTTAAAAACTTGGGTTTACTTGACTCTTCCTCAAAAATGCCACTTCCTTTACACATTGTATCTCTTAGTCATGCCTCATATAATCTTGTCGTTTCATAGTGAATTATGTTTTATAAGGTCATTTACAGTCGTCAAAAATATCTACTCTACGTGAACAGCTATTTCATTGGGACTAAGTTTTGTTAAGGCAAAACTCAAAACAATAGCAGTAAAATCCCAAGCACACTCATAATTAGGCTTTATTATTACACATGGTTTTTTCCTAGAGGAATTAAAAAATTATAATTTCTGTCCTTTTCCGGTATGATTGTATAATTTACACAGCTTATGCAGTTTATCTTATTTTGTGGTTGGTTTGTTTGTGTTTTTTTTTTCTTTAGAGAAATCCAAGACCAGTGACTTATCAATTCCACCAAAATTTGGATTATTACAAAGCCAGGGGGGCAGACCTCATGAATAAGAGCCGGTAAGTCACCTTTCCTTCATGGTGTGAATCACAAGACTATTCTCAGGGGCTGTCGGGAAATTGGACTCACTCACAGAAAGCCATTTTACAGATTTTATCATGTCAATTTAATACACGTAATGAACCTTTGTTAAATAATTATCTTCCAAGTTTCATTTAAAGGCGTAAGAAAATGATATACATTGACGACTGTGGTAAAATGAAAAATTAAATATATATACATGCACACTTGTTACAGTTTGAAGTTAGACAACTTCATTTTTCTAACACTAATAAACTCGAATAAATTGTGCCTACTTGTATAATCTCTTTCTAGATTCTTGCTGCTGATTGAAAAGAGGCAGTTCTATAATATATTTTTGAATTATTTCAGTAACAAAATTAAAATTGGGTTTCCCAACTGTCTTTAGAACTACACAATAAGCTTATAAATGCATCTTGTGAGTGCATTTGTGATTATATACATAGAAATTTTAAGGGTCACTGTAGGAATAAAAAAACATTAAAATCCTACTTTTTAAAGGAATTAACATTGGCATAAAGGGTTGATGAACAGTTGTGTTCCTTCATAATACTGCACTCAGATGTCTCAAGAGTTAACTTGTCAAAGCAGAACCGTCTCAAATTAGAATGTAATTTTAAAGTTTACTCTGGAAGACAGACGCGCTGGTGATGATAAATACTGCCAAGTTGTCCGAGTTTCCTCCCCTCAGCGTTCTGCCAGAGCCACGTGTGCTGTCCCCGGACCCAGCAGGCGGGCTGCACACCAGTGGGGCACCTCTGTGCAGCGCTCCATGGGTGTCGGGAGCAAAGAAGACAACCTGGGTGTGCGCGTGGTGGTCTGAGGGCTGGGAGGAGTCTACAGGAAGGTAGCTGGAGGTAACTTTGCGTTGTGAACCCGCATTAGTGTGGTGTCGTTGTCAAGTGAGCCCTTCTCAACTGAAATCTGAGGCCTGTTTCCTTATTTGCCGTGTAGTTATGAGCCAGGACCCTGGGCCCACGAGACTTCGCCCCAGCGTTCTCCTGTTTGTTTATTTCTTCTGACTCTTGTATCGTAAATATAACACAGTTCCCTCTAGCCTCTTCTTTCATTTACTTCAGCAAATACTGATGGAGAGGCACGTCTCGTTACTCTAGACACAGGAGATGGCCAACGAGCAAATGGCCCAGCCTGACCTCAGGACCCTTGAAGTGGGCTCCTGCTTCCTGCATATTGTCCACACTTAGCTTGGTGTCTTTCAAAGAGCAAGGTACACTAGGCTTTTCCTCCGTAGAACATCCTCCTAAGCAGCTTCTTCCTGTTCTTCCCTCCCTCTGCCCACAGCACCCAGAGGGATGTGTCTACAGTGGGTCCCATCGTGCGCCCACCCCACACCCTCAGCCCCACTCGGAATGCCTCCCTTCGCTCTGCAGTGCCGTCCCCTCGTGACCCGACCCTCCTCTTTGCGCCATTCTCCTTTCAGTCTCTCCTGTCTCCACTCCCGTGGAGCGCTGGGTGGCATGGTGGTAACTAAAGGTCTTCAGTTCAAACCTGCAGCTCCTCCTGGGGGAGGACGATGTGGCAGTCATTTCCCATGAAGGTGATAGCCTCAGAAACCCTGGGGGAGGGCATTTCCCCGCTGTCCAGCAGGGCTGTGTGGGGTGGGATCCACTCTGCAGGCTGCGAGCTGTCGGCCCCGAGACTCTGCTCCTCATCTGCTGGGGGCCCACGCTTCACTCCTCCCTCCTGTACCCCGCTTCCCATGCCTTCTCACCAATGGGCCTGCTCTCTGTCATCTCCAATGGCCATTCCCCATGGTCTGCTGGTTGGGTGGTTCTGCTGGGCATTTGCGGCTTCTCACTGCCCAGCCTTCCTGCCTTCTCGTGCAAGGTCCTGCACTAGCTCACCAAGACAAGCCTCCTTTCCCGGGCTCCCCGCTAGACTGTGCACCTCCCGCCAGCAAGGGCTTCATGGGATCCACCCATGACCACTGCCTGGAGCTGGGAAGGCACACGCCGCTTTGTACGTGGGGACTGTCCTCTACCTTTTATCAGCATCTGATTTTTTTCCCCAAAGAAAAGGAAAGTTTAGTATCATTTCATTTCTACTTTTCTTTTTTAATCTCTGTTCTGTTTACTTTTGTGGCTCTCTGAGTTTTCCTACCATAAAATGGTGATTATTTGGGGGATTTTATTTTGGTTTTCTGTGGGATTTTTTGGTTGTGGGTTGGTTGGTTGGTTGGTTGGTTGTTTTGGGGTTGGTGTTTTTGGTGATTCTTTTTTACATAAATATTAGTAAGTACTTTGGACTCATCTCTGCAGATTAGAAGGAAAATCTCTTTAAATTGTCTTTGTTGCAATAACAAAATCTTAAACTGGAAAGGGAACCAACTGTAATGTGTTGTGTAAAGAAGAAGGCATACAGACCAGCGAGGATGGGAAGAATGGATGTGTGGTGCTGGGACTCCAGGTCGTCTTAGAAAATACCAATGTGTGGGAGCTCTGGTGGCCTAGTGGCAAGAAGCTGCACTGCAATCCCAGAGGTACGAGGTTCAAATCCACCAGATGCTCTGCTGGAGAAGGATAGAGGTGCAGTCTCGTCCTGTACCTGTCAGCTCTGTACACGGGGGAGGGGGGGGATTAATAAAATAAAAAATATATAAAAAAAGAAAATACCAAAGTGCAGCAGCACCATCCACCAAGATAAGCTCAGGTCAACCAGTGAGTCAAACAGCTCAACCTGAGAGTAAAATAGAAATGTCTGTCTGACTTCTAGGTAATTCAGACCTTTCTAACCTTCAAAGAACAGAAGAAACCGCAAGACAGTGACTTGTGGGATTTCCCACACAACAGATAGATTGTGTAAATGTGTTGAACACAAGTGAACTGAACCCCAGGACCAAGAGAACGTGGGGACACAGTTGCTGTGGCTGACGAAGTGTAGTATCATTACTACGTAGAGACTTCATGGAATCTGCAGAGATCGAGGGGCCTGCCCTGTGGCCGTTCCATCTCATGTGCGGCTCCGAGGGACCCCTTCCTCTCTGAATGACGGAGCACTGCCAGCTCCTTTCCTTTTTCAGATGCTTTGCCTTGAGTCACCCCCAGGCTCCCGGCTTTAACAAGCATCTCCAGCCCCACACCGCCGTCAGCCTGATTCCAACTCCTGGAGACCCTCGTCCGCTTTCTGAGGCTGTAAATCTTTGCTGGATAGCCATGGAGCACGGAGTGGACTCGTACAGTCAACCTTTTGGCTAGCAGGCTGGCACCACGTGCATTATGCTACCAGGGCTCCTTATGTATGGCAGATAACCCTGGTCTTACACATCTGTCTGAGCTCTTCCCCTTAAACCCCACACTGGGGCCCAGCTATCTCTCCTTGCTCAGTATCCACACCTAGGTGTTCCCCGTCCACCTGAGGTCAGCACTGCCCAAGCTGAACCCCTGATGCTCCGTACCCACCACCGTGTTACCAACACCCCCTCCGCACACCCTTCTCTCCATGACAGTGATAACGCTGATGGTTCTGTGACCGGAGCCAAGCCTAGCAGGTGCTCCGCAGCCTTCTTCCTGCAAAGCAGTGAGTGGCCCACAGCCCAGCGCGTAACACCCTGCACCACCAGGGCCCTCACTGCTTCCTGAGCGGTTGGGAATTTATTAAAGAGTTGGAACATTGGGGCTGTCGCTGCGTAGTAGTAACAAGTGAAAGATCCAGAAAGGATGTGTAGAGCAATAGATACAGGAAGATGTAGATGCGTGTTCAGGTGCGCCCGTGCGCCATGTTGTACACACATACTGGGCACCTTGTATTTTTTACCAGCGACAAACCCCTCATGCTTCCTTTGTGCAGTGGGCACATCACATGTGCATCCCGAACGTGCAGAAATAGTCTCTGTATCCATGCACACCCACACACACTCGTGCGGGAACCCCCGGAAGTGATAAGGAGGCAGAGGTTAAACAGAAGCTAGCCAGGGGGCTAAGAGCTGCAGAGCTGGGAGCCAACACCTGCTCTGTCCAAAGCATTGAACTTCTGATACCTGCTGTCTCCATGGCATTGAACTTGTGATGGCTGCTGTCTCCATGGCATTGGACTTCAACCACCTGCTCCATCCATGGCCTTGGACGTCTGTTTGTGTTGCATTGCCAAATAAGGGCCGGGGGGAAGAGGATGCAGAGACGGCTTGTGATTTCGTGGATAAGAATATCTCCAGAAATCAAGCCTGATTTCCCTCCTCTGCTTTCCCATGGATTGCTATAATTAAGTCTTTTAGAGCAAGTGCCTAGGTATTTTGGTGATAGATTTTCCATTACGCGTGTGGATAATATTCACTGTGCTCTGATTTCACTTGCTTGCAAATTTCTTTTTAAAAGGGGGAAATGACATTTTCTTATTCATTCAACTTTTGAGCTCAGAATGACAATTTAACACTTAAATTTTATTCCAATTTTGTCCTTAAATAACCAGAAATTGCTGCTATAAAAAAAAATAAAAATCTAAATTGTGACCAATCTTTGGAAAGACCCATCTCATTTATTTAAGACTCTCTGACTATTAAAATGCCAACTGAGTAGTCACAGGAGAGAGTGTCATAGTTGTTAAAGTCGCTCTCCTGTTGGGAAGATATGTTTATCTGTGTGTATCAGGAGAGTGTATGTGTGTGTATATACACACACATGTGAAATAAACAGATTTTTAAATGAACATTTCAATGACATTAATTACATTTACCATTTAGACCACAGACTCGCTTCATTCCTCCTTCACTTCAGGGCTTGTACTTTCTGATTTGAAGATTCATGCAGAATCTTTGCCCTGAGGGTGTGATACACAGGACACCCGGGCGGTCAGCAGTACCTCCAGAGCACGTGACACTTTATCTAGTGGTGTCTTCTTAAAGGCGCCATAGCAGTGGATCTTTTCTCTTCCTTAAATCGTTTCATGTCACCCAAATTCAGTAGCTCCTTTGGTGAAGGTCGGCCTTGATGGAGATGAAGGATACCTACACTCAGTTCCCTGC